CGCCATAAAATTGACATCATAGGTATCGAGTGCATCTAGTCAACTCACACCCTCCTATAAATTTTAGTCCTGTTACATCCCCAGTAATTCCAATGTTCCTTCGAATCTATGGCGTGAATTTTTTACCTGATAACGCATAATACGCTACTTGGTGGTGATTTTAATGCATTTCATCCCTCTTGGGGCTCTGAACTTGCATTCCGCCGTGATTCTCAGATCAATGATTGTATCAACTCATTAAGACTTTGTTCTCTCAACGATGGTAGTCCTGCATATGAGGGTCGTCCCAACTCGACTTGATTGATTTATCTTTTTGTTCCCCTGATATAATCTGGTATCTATCTTGGTAAGTCCTCTACGATCCTCACGGTAGCGACCATATCCCCATTATCATAACAGCTAATTTCAACAGGGCCACCGATCCCGCGCCATCTAGTCCCGCTATGAATTCTTCATCTTCAATTCACTTACTTTTCAATTTCAATAAAGCTAATTGGTCATCATATTCTCTCCAAATTCAGAATTATATCTCTTCATTGACAAATTTTACCTCTCCAGTTTTTTCCTATTCTACCTTTACAAGTGTCATTAACATCTCCGCCGATTCTACAATTCCGAAAAAAAGATTAAATATTAACCCTTATCCACCTTCCTCTCCTTGGTGGAATTCTGACTGTTCTGAAGCTGTCAAAAACAGAACCCAATTTTTAGGAATTTTCCTCACTCAGGTTCCATGATCGACTTTATTAATTATCGCAACGCTTGTGTCCAAATCACCAAGCTATTAAAAAATGAAAAGAGGAAAAAATGGAAAAATGTTTGTTCAAATCTAAATCCATCCTTTCCCATACATCACCTTTGGTTAACAGCTAAGCGCTATAAAAATTGCATCAACCCTGTCAGTCGCTCAGATAATGACGATTGATTCGATTCTTTTTGTTCTAAAATCGCTCTGTGCTATGTCCCTTCTATATTAGAGATTTGCTCTCCTGATCACTCTCAATACTCTCCACCTCATGTTCTCACTAATGTTTTTATTATGTCAAAATTATATTTAGCTATATCTTCACGGAAATTTACCGCGTCTGGTCTAGACAATATATAACCTATTATGCTAAAACCCTTTCCTTCAAACACTCTGGCTTATCTTTTATCTATTATGAATAATATTTTAACATTCAATCAGGTTCCTCCTTCATGGACAGCTTATCGTGTCATCCCTATCCCCAAACCTAATTCTAATGATTCTTTTCGTCCAATTGCTCTCTCTTCCTCTCTTTGCAAAGTTTTTTTATATGCTGAAAACAAGACTCGATTGGTGGCTGGAATTCAACTCTATTTTACCTGCAAACTTGTTTGATTTTAGGAAGGGATTGGGTAAAATGAAATGCCTCTCGACTTTTATCGGTAATATTTACCATTCTTTTAACAATAAGGAATTCCTCGTCACCACATTTGTAGATATTTGCAGTGCCTTCGATTCCGTGAACATACCTACCCTCATAACCTATCTTCTTTTATTAAATGTCCCCTCTAAATTCTGTAATGTTCTGTCCGCTCTTTTCAATTTCAGAAAACTTGTTTTCCTCCTCCCATCGGATCGTCAAATACTCGATCCACTTTTACTGGCCTTCCTCAGAGTAGCTGCCTTAGCCCAATTCTATTCAATATATATATGAGTATTGTTGAAAAGCATCATTCTCAGTCCGGTCATAAATGTCTTATATACGCTGATGATTTAGTTATATTCTCTTCTAATAAACATCTTAACCTCATCATTGATAGCCTCAACTCTGCCCTGTTGGATTTAAATGATATCCTAATCAAAGTGTCTTTCAGTGTTGCCCCTGGTAAATGTAAATCGATTATATTCACTCGTCGTAGATATTTAAACAATCTTAATACATATCTTAACAATTGTGTTATCCCCTTTGTATCCAGTATTACCTATTTAGGCATCACACTCGACCCAAAATTGCGCTGGATTCCACATATTTCATCTCTCACTGCTTTTGCTTATCGATGGTCCAATTTCTTCCGATCTGTAACTGGTACTTGGTGGGGCTCTCACCCTTCAAGTCTATTATCTATATATATGTCTATTATACGTTTCAAACTTGACTACGGTTACTTCTTTTTTGGTTCGGCTTCCTTTTCTCATTGGAAAAAAATTAATTAACTCCAAACCTCAAGCATCAGAACCATTATGGGTTATGTTAGTTCTACTCCTTGCTCTGCTATGGAATTTGAATCTACTTGCCCACCATTTAATATCAGATGCCGCTGGCTTGCTGGCAAATTTCTCTTGAAATCATTATCCTATAGCGATCACCGTATTTTTGACACTTATTACTCACTGTATGTTAATTGGCGATATGTTCCTAAATCTATGTCTGTATTATCAATTATAGCTCATTCTATTTCAAATTCCCACCAATATATTATTAATTCTACTAAACTCCCTCTTTATGAGCAATCCTATGACTCCCTTATTTTTTCCCCTCAGATTCATTCTGGTAGTCAATTTTTAGATCTATCCTCCAATGATTTTATATATGTCTTCTTCCTCGGTCAATGCAGCCGTTTTGTATTATCTTAATGAACGCTTTTTTAACTTCACCACGGTTTATACAAATGGATCAGTCTCTCCTCTCTCCGCTGGATATACGTTCTACATTCCTGATTTACAGCTCTCTTTTACCAGTAACCTTCCTCCTACGTTTTCTTCCTTTACAGCTGAGTGCTATGTCATCACTGAAGTCTTAAAATTAATTCAAAATTTTCCCCCCAAATATTACTTAATTGTCTTAGATTCTATGTCGTACCTCCAAGACTTTAATTCAAACCCATTTAACTCTCATCTGTCTCCACTTATCCTTCGCATCAGTCCCTTATTTTTACCTCAAATCAAAAAAACTATAACATCAATTTTCTTTGGGTTCCTAGTCATACAGGTATACATTGTAATGAGGTTGCAGACCACCACGCTAAATCTTTATCCAATCTTATCTCCTTCTTTTTCTCAACTCCTACATTCGGACTTCACACCTCTAATAAAACAACACTCCACCAACACTTGGTTCTCTCTTTGGAACAATCTACCTGCAGGATTTGCCTCAAGATACAAAAATATTATACCTAATATCATAAGAAAAACTTGGTTTAATATCTTACTTTTACATAGACCATATATTTTACAATTTAATAGGCTACGTATAGGGCATCACCTTCTACCCAGTCACTCCTTCAAACTTGGCCTTAATGATTCTCCATTTTACACACTTCACCTAAATGAATGTTCCGCAACTTATCCCATATTCTATTTGACTGCCCTGCCCTTCAAACCAAACGTATTATTTTAGTTAACGTACTTAAAACTCTTAATATCCCCCTTAATATCTACTCCATACTCAACACAAAATCCACTACCACCATTAAATCAGTAATTTCCTTTATATTGGATGCTGGCTTTTTTATATAATATTAAAATGTAATGTATTATGTAGTATTATGTAAAATTTGTAAATGTTGAGCTATCATAGTTAAATACTAATAGCTAATAATAATAATATTAATAAAAAAAAAAATTTATTTTCCTACATGAAAAAGTTGATTAAATAGCTCTATAATAATAGCCTAATATTAAACTTAATAAATATGTAAATAAGATAGAAATTGTTCGAAAAATATAATCAAACGGAAATTTAAAAACTATGTGATGAGTTTTTATAATCGTAATTTATTCAAAATAATATAATATTAATTGGCTTTTCAAAAATGATTTAAAATCTAATTTATTCATTAATACCTCTTTGGTGTGTTATACATATATGTATGTGTAAATACGTTTTGTTTTTAAATATATACTTAAAAAAGAAAACGAATAATAAGTGGACAATGTTTATAGCAATTAATATTAATTAATAGTAAAATGATTTTTTTGCCCATGACTAAAAACTAAATAACAATAAATCAAGAATCCTTTGCGTACAGTCATGCAGCTGTTTAATTATTTCAAAATATTAGTGTACGTACAAAACATGAACATAAATCAAGTGTTGGATATTTGTGTTAATGGACTAGATATTTATAATAAAATGGCGCGCATGTGCATGTACACGGCTTGGGAGTGTATCACTCGTGAATTTCTAAAAGGTCGTAAATACAACCAGGGGCGTTACATGTTTACCGCATGTTAACCAGTGGAAAATTGTTGTCCTAAATAACTAAAATGATACACCACATTAACTGAATTGCCATTTAATTATCTACTATAAAATATATATTAATTAAGTAAGTATGCAAAACAAATGTTATTTAAATACTAAAGCATAATTTTTTTTTTAATTTAAACAGTTTTTATTAATAATTAATAACAAAATACATTCTTCAACTTTGTCACTGTAGGTACGTTGTTATAGTGCTTACATATTATTATACCACCGAGTACAGCCGGCTACTGAATATAGCTGTTACTACTGATTCATCTATACGGTGATCACGCACGTGGGTTTATAAATTAAAACAGGCAGAACCGCTTTCGGTTAACTAGTTTTTTTTTTATATCTTCCATTCACTTTCTAGTGTACCAGTCCGTTTAGATATCTGTTTTTTTTCACCGTAATTTTTTGCAATAAATTGAATTTAATTTTTTTTCAAACATATGTTGAACATTTATTCGATAAAGAAAAACAAAACCGATATTACTTTTTAAACTACCATACAAGGTTTCGTCACATCCACAAAATTCTGTTCAACCGTTCTTAACGATAATTACGAGTTCTTTGGCCGATTTCAAATCTCATCAGTACTTACTGTCGGAACTGAATGCTGACGGATAGACGAATAGACGAATAGGCTAAAATCGAAAATCTAGTGGAGATAGGAAAAAATTAAACGGTCACGGGTATCTTTTTGTCTAGGTTATAAGCTGTAACGATAAAAACGACCGAAAAAAAAAAAAACCAAAAAAATATTCTACCTGAATCAAATGCGCTTACCTCCATCCGTAAGGAGTGAGCACGTGACCACTGGGGCACGGTCCCTTGGAGTACACGGGGTAGCACGGCCGTGAGTTCTCGTCACCGTCGTCCGTCAAGGCCCGTACGTAGGGCGCGCTGTCGCCGGTGCGACACTCGCAGTACCCGTCGCCGAACTCGTCCCTGACGGGTTCGGTGTCCGGATTCGGGCATAGTCGTCGGTGGCGCGCCATCTTCGCGTCGTAGCAGAACCCGTCCCACGGCCAGTACAGGTCCGACTCGCTGCACCGGCGTCTCGTGCACTTACCCGTCAGCCGCTGCTCGTGCCCTTCGTCCATCTTGTCGTCCCAGTTCAACACCAACCATTGGCCTGCAAGAAAAAGGGACGAGAAAACCAAATTTAAAAAGGATCGCATGTGCGTGGATTCTGGACACTACTCGAATCTTGTTATCGTACTAGTGGATCTCATTTAGTTCATTGAAAAATAACCAACAAATAGATAAGAATACCATATTATTTAGTATAAAATCTATAGTTATTTGTCTCATAAATTCTAAGTGAAACAAAGAGTTTAATTGGTTTTTATACTTATTAGCTATGACAAGGAAATTATTTAAATAATTCTTCTTATGTACTGTAGTCCAAAGCTATTATATGTTTTTTTTTTAGAGCAGCTAAAAGATAGGTATGGTACAAACTATTTTTAAATTTTATTTCTTAATACTATTGTACAACGATTATTTATTGATTATCATTCTAAACATAATTCTTGGATACAAAATAGTTGTAATTAATACGTCCTATAAATTACTCAAGAGTATTTAATGCCTATAAACATACGACGCATCTATGCTGTAAACAATTACCCAGCCAACCATTACTACCTACCCTAACCACATTAACACCGCAAATTTTTGTCTTTTGATTACGGTTTATGTTCTATATGAGGCATTGTGCGCAAAAGTGGTTTAATTCACACAAATTTCAAAATGTATGTAACCGTACCACGTTCTTCAAAAAGTGCAATGAATATAAAAGCAACACATTCTATTTAATTTTTTTTTTTTACCTAGATAGCAACACAATTCTGTTGCCGTAGTTATTTTTGTTTTTATGAAACACTGGTTCATTTACATAATCACGGATAGTTACACAACCTAAGTACATATTATGTTGATATGTATATATGGTACAAGTCCATAGCTTCAAGACGGCCACAGGAAATTAGGTCTTGTATTTTACATATCATTAAAAATTATATAAATATAGAAAAACTTATAATGTATACCGAATATTGGTCGCTGGACAAAATCGCAACATTAAAATGGCTTTAATTTAGATTCTTATTGTATGTTCTGACCGTTTATCTCCAACACAAATACATTATAAATTTTTAAGTGTCTAGACACTCCTATTTACCTTGTGATAGAGATGTTGAAGTTATTGAAAAAACGGAAAAGTTATCAGCATAAAATGTATGTTCCAAACGATTGAATTAAAGTAATTTTAAAAGCTCGAGAAAAAATCCTTTCAAGGTTGTACAAATGATTAAAAAAGATTTTTTTTCCATTGTGACGTAGTTAGGTAGAATGGTAAGGATTTCAATGGACATTTTACTGTGTGAATTTTTTCAGATGTATGTGGCTAAGCCAAAAAAACTTCAAAACTTTAAAAAACTCTATCCCAATGATCATCTTATTATAAAATAAAAATATAAAGATCTCACTGAACTATTGACATTTATACCACCTACATTTCAAGATTTTTATAAAAATATTAATTAGTAAAAATAAATAAATATTTATTTTAAACTATTTAATTTTATAATTTTAAGATATAACATTTATTTTATTTTCAAATAATTTATAAGTCTGATTTAATATTTAATGTTTATTGTTTAAATGTATTATAATTAATTTTATAACGATTTAACCAGTATCATATATCATTTATTAAAATGTATTAATATAGATAATATGCTGCTTTTATAATATTTATATGTTTGATAATATTAATAATTATTATATTTTATTTTATAGCAATTCATAAGTCTGAATTATTAGTTTTTATTGTTATTGTTTAAATTAATGTATTATAATAATATGCTGTATATTATAACATATTGTCTTCCAAAACATGTCAGTAAAAGTTTTCACTGTAAAGTCTCGTAACGAATTTGCCTAACGTACTGCTAAGACATATAATTTTAAAGTACGTTGACTTTAATATTTACCTTTTCAAGGTCATTTAACTTATGACTTAATACACCTAAGACAAGTACTTCTTTATATTTAACTCTAATGATTTTCGTTTTCGTTGAAAAAATTATACTTGAATGTATGTGTATGAGTTTTAATTGTATTAAGATTTCATTTGTACAATAATGCACTAAATAATTTAATCAAATTTAATTGTAAATAAAATTGTGCCCTAATAATATATATATATATATATATATATAAAGATTAAATTAAATAGTTTATGGTATTTTATACTAGTATATAAGGGTAAAAAAAGTACAATAACCATCAATAATCTTTTATTTCCATATATATATATATATATACTAGGGTGCTAGTTACTGATGTGGAGAGAACATTTTTTTGCTAAATTTTTTATTTTTTAAAGTGCGGGCCGGAATTTTGTTACAATACATCTAAAATTAATGTCTGTAAAATTTGAACTTGATCGAACTTAATTAACAGGTGGCGACTTAAGCTCAAAGTTTTATGGAAAAGAGTAAAATGTTGGTTTTTGGTATATAATTAATTTAATTTTAAATTTGAAAAAATTTATATTTTTATTTCCTATCTACTATTATTTCCTACTATACAATTACATGTTTTAATTATTATAACACTATAAATTAACTTATTTAAAAGACAACATATTTATAAAAGTTTTTTAAGATCTTTCAAAGTAGCAGATTTTGGGTATTTCTTACGATAATCTTGAACAGTCTGAAAATATAAAAATTTTTGTTAATATATTATTCTTTATTACACAAGGTTAATATTTATCATTTACTTTTAATAGAAATTGCTTTTGGTCTAAATATTTTATAATTTTATGATTGAACTCGTCCATTAATCTTATACTCCGTTCTGCAGGATCATTTACTATTTTAAGATCACTTACTATTTTTTTCCTTTTTATTAATTCGGATAAATTAGTACATGTATTTTGATGTGATTTTAAAAATGCAATTCAAATATTAAATTGTTCTAAAAAATGTTTAGATTTATGGTTCACGAGTTTTAATAAAATATAATAAAATATTATTATTGTAATTTTCTAAAAGACAAATTAATTCTTCATTATTCAAAATTAATCTTTTCTTTGTTATTTCTTCCTCGTAATCCTCTTCGTCATCAATTGTTATCATTTTTTGGGCCATTTTCATTTTGGTGTCTTCATTCATTCTGTCATCAAACAGTGCTAACGCGATACATTCTTCGTTTAGATAATATTAATGTTTAAGAAACTTTTGAATAGCAGAATTTGAAATCATTTCATTAATTGTGCGATACTCGTAGCAGGCTCTCAAAAACATGATATTATTTAATGGAGCTTCATTGGAATTTGGCGCAGAAGCGTGCCATAGCATTTAATTAAAAACAAATTGAAATGAGAAATATTAATTAATCTAATTATTTGTTAACTTAAAATCTTGCCGAATATATTTTGAGACAATAGATGTCTTTGGCCATCCACCTTGCATGATGGTATGCACCTGGCATTTTAAACTTAATTCTTCCAGGAGGTAGGTACTTCTCCCAAAAAAATAATTATTAAATCCAATAATTCTGTATAATCGTCTCGGATTAAATTTGTCGAAAGTTTAAGTTTTGCATATTCCACAATGTCAATGTAGTTGTTTCCTAATGCATTTTTAATATCTATGTAAGAGATTCCGGTAACAAATTTATTTAAGTTTATAGTATCCCATTTTGTCTTAAACTGTTTGAATAAAGGAATATCTGGACCTGTCAAAGGTGAGATTTTACATTTTCTAAAAATGTCAGCTAGAACTATCTCAAATATATGGTGTCTACAACCAAAATAAATAATATCTCTATTTAATTTATTTTCTAATAATGTACAGGCGCCATTATATCTACCAGTGTTCGACGTGGTCGTATCAAAAACAAATGCTTGAGTTTTATCTAGTAGTTCCCAACTTTCTAAAGTATCGAAAACTGCAGGTGAAATTTCAAGCCCTGTCTCCCCCAACACTTTCGGTACTCCCAATAATTGTTGAAAATTCGTACCTGTAGCGATGACTGCTAATCTATCGACACATTTTCCATTATTTTATTGTCAATTGTATTTTGAACAATGACCGACTTTACATTTAAATTAATGAAGGCTTGCTTTAATTGTTGGTCATATGATTCCTGATGGACAGCTCTAGCATTTAGTATGGATGTCCTATTGATAATATAGTCAGCAGGATCTAACGACACAGCTTCCAAAAATGCAACTAACAAATGTACGGAAAATGTATTGCTTTCGTTTTTCAATATTTGTTAATTTTATGTCTACGCCAAGCATCGAACCTGGGCGTCCTTTTTCTCTTTGTTTAACTAAAAATAACTTATCCTCTTCTATACGTATCATAGTAAGTTCATCTTGATAAGCAATATAAAAAAGATCATTCATAGAATCACTAAATAATTGTTCTTTTTTTTTTAAAATGTTTGATTGGTTTTATTTTTATTTTTTAAAATATCTTTCTACTCCTCATAAAGTTTAATTAACTTAGCACTTGTGTCGGAGTCCCAGCTTTTTTTCCAAAACACTATACATTCCTCAATCACTAGTGAAGCGCTATCGTTTAAATTTAGTTTTGTTATTCTCATATTATAAAATACAACTTTTAGACAGTCACCTCTAGAAGGTAATTTTAAATCTGTTATTTGATGATTCATATACCCAATAAGAAATAACTTTTCACGTGACAAAATTTTAAATATTTGAATAACAACTGAGGTAATAATTAAATGTATAGTTACTGTTACTACACAACAAATAATACTGACACTATGTTTTATTATTTGGTGTGATAACTGCAGTAGAATTAAATGGATATAAGACAACGGAATATTGCCAAGCACGATAAAAGATTATTAATAATATTTAATACATGCTGTTGCGTAGTAATGATAATTAGATAGATATCGCTATCATTTATAATTATAACCATAATAATAGTTATATTATAACTGAAATACTTATTATTGCTTAACTTTCTGCTTAAGTTGCCACGTGTTAAATTTGTTCAATTAAGCTTAAACTACAGATTTTTATTCATAAGATATATAAAAACAAAATTAGGGAGCACACTCATAAAAAATTAATCTTAAGTAAATAAGTGGCACCCTAATATATATATATATATGTTTAGTTTCAATTTTCTCTTTGTGTGTAATCAGGTAATTTAATATTTGCAATTACTTGTGGTATTAGAGTTTTTGAACATTTTTTCGTTAAATATATGTCATTCTTACGCACATTTAAAACTAATCTTGAGATAGAAAAATAAATCTTTACGTATAACATATAAATATTAATAACTAAATAACAATATTAACACACTCAATAATATCGATATTGAAAAAATACATTAACTGTGTGGATATTAGATAGAAATCGATTATGCAAAATATACGAGACAAAATATTTTTAGTGTAATTGAATTTCATTTATATATACATTATTTGTTCATTGACAATACATAGATAGACAATAAATATCATTTTGACATTAGATTGTACACTATAAAAACGTGTAAATATATCAATAGGTATTAAAGAAAATAAAAATTTGCTAACATAGTAATAATAGTGTCTGATGAACACACACACTTGAATAACAGATAAATAATTCTTAGAAATATGTGTTTGTACGTTTAGATTATCTGAATTCTTTGCAATTTTTTTTTTATTTTAAAGAACCAACTTCTGTCGTATTGATTACTCATAAACGTGAGTTTTACTTATTTAATCGAATTATTTTAGTAAGTTAAGTCAAATGAGGTACTCTTTCGGTTAAATATGATTTTTAGTTAATTTATAATAATAACGTTAATCATATAAAAAATAATAATGTTTTATTAAGGGGCTTCGCTGCAGCCGTCAATTGTAGCTCAAAAATCTTAAGTTTTGATAAAATTAAAGTTAGTTTAAGTTGTCCGATTTTAATTCTGAAAAAAAAAAAGAAAAAAAAAGTTAACAGAAAATTTTTAATAGTACGAGACACTGAAAAAATTAAATCTTATAACAAATCTTTTAATAATGATGTATACCGCAAGACGGCTGCTATGCACTGACGGCAGCCGTCGACGCGTCATATATCACTCTCGTACGCACATACACATGTCAATGTAGATAACAATATTATAAAATTCACTACACGAATTTTACGTTAACCTCCTTATTGTTTTGACAAAATTAAAGTTAGTTAATGTTGTTTGAGTTTGATTCTGAAAAAATATTTGAATTCAGTATAAAAATGTCTGCAGATCGTATGGAACACTTTCTATTTTTAATTTTAATTATGATTTTTAAAAACATATTTTCAAATTTTTAATTACAGTTAACAATAATAAAAGATTTAATTTTTCAAAGCGTTTCATACTATTGACAATTTTCTGAGTACAATTTTTTTTTTCAGAATTAAAATCGGACAACGTAAACTAGCTTTAATTTTGTTAAAACTTAAGATATTTTGAGCTAAAATTGACGGCTGTAGCAAGGCCTCTTAAGCGTTAAAGTAGTGATCTATATTTGAATTAAATATTATTAAATGTACACTAGAACTATTTAATACACAAAAAAAAAAAAAAAAATGTATATTAAAGGAAAAATTTAATTTTGTATAAAATTATTTTAATAACAAAGTATTTGCAGTGGCGCCGAACACGTATGTCAAGTGGGATGAATATCCCAAAAATTGTTTAGGTAAATTAGTCCTACCAGGAAATTTGAACCTCAAATAGAAATTAATAACTGTTACAAACTTATAATAATATACTGTAAAATATTTTACTAATAATTTCTTACAATTTTATTATAATACAGAACAAAGTATAAAATATCAGTAGGTACAATATTTCTTACTTACTACTTATATTATTCTATATGCCGATACAATCAGACAACAATATATGGAAATAATTAATATTTACGACTAAGCAATCGAGTTTTCGTGCTTTTCAATATACTATGTACTTTTTAATTATTCATATGCGAGGTTTAAACTGCCCGGGCAGGACCAAATTGCTCGAGCAATGTGAACATTGTCCAGTATTCCATATTATAATATAATTTAATCCCGTAACATATACCTACATATTTAATGTACCTGATTACAGATGGATGCCAGTTGTGGCATTTATTATATAATTAATAAAATATATCTAATATTAATGATATTATTTGAGTGATAAACGGAGATCCATTGATTTTCTCAATTTGATTTAATAGGTGCTTTAAGAAAATATTAAGTTTATTAAGTAATGGTGTAAAAAATAATTTTTTTTATAATTTATTTTTGACTTGAAGGGTATATGACGGTTTTTTGATTTATTCAACATTGAAGTTATATTATATTTGTGTAATTATTCTGCATTTACAGTAGATTGAATATTTAATTATTGTTCATAAGTATACGATATTGATAAATGTTTTTGTGATTTTTTTCATGTAATAAAATTAATATATAACAAAAGGCTTATGTTATTTTTTGGATTAAAATTGATATTTAAATAAATTAATCGATTAGAATATAACCCTAACTGTGAAACAAAAATGTATTAGTTATTATTTTTTATAACTTATTTGTGTTTTATAATGTATTACGAATATTAAATATTCGATAAATTGCCAATAACTGATTAAGGAAATATTCAATGACTAATTTTTATTTTTATTTTCTTTGCAATATATTTTAGTTTTCACTGCTTTTAACTAAATGTTTACCATAATATTGATAAGATTTAGGCGGCTCTCATTTTTATATATAATGTGAAAATAACCTAACTACACTTCCCTTATTGTAAAGTATTCGACTTAATTGCTGTTTTAAAGTCACTTAACTAAACTATTTTATCCTAAAAATTAAAAATATTATACTAGTAAATTGCATGGGGTGATTGTAAGCTTTAAAGTTAGTAATTGCCATAGCGTATACCTCTTGTAATTTGCTTTATTTTATTATGTAACAGTGTATACAATTATATCAAGGTCTCATATGTAATAATAATTGTTGAATTGTCTAAAATTATTTATTCAACTATTTTTTACCGAAACTAACTATTGTTGTTGGTGTGCGTCCATCATGTGAATTAGTTTACCTTCAAAATAATTGTTTGAAAATATATCATCTTCTAATGTGTTTTATTTTTACATTTTACTTGAAAATAATAATTCCTTAATAATAATGTTTTTTTTTATTGTTTGAATTTATGCTTAAAAATGTATTACTTCTAATAATCATCGAGGTAAAGAAAGTTTATGGTTTTTTAAAATATATTTTGTTATTTCTGAATATTAAAAATATAAAAATGTCAAGTTGAATTATATTTTCTCTCATATTGTGGAAAACATATATGACAACTTGATATACATTTTAAAAATTCGAATATATCCATAATATTACATACATTCACCGTATATGTACTATATACGGAACAATCATAAAATGAGTAGTGTCACTTACCCTCATCGCACGGTCCTTTGGTCAACAAATCCCAACATTGGCCTTCGTAAAAGATCTTCCTCATCGACAAACATTTTTCGTACGTGTACTCTAGTTCTTTGTGTGGATTCGAGGGTAAAATCAAATTCGCCAGATAATAACCGAAAACGTCCGCTAACAACCCGAATAGTAATAAAATAATAAACATGGTGAAGTACTGTTAGTATAACAATGTATCTAATCGGCGATACTTGTTCCGTTAGTTGACTTGTACTTCATCTAAGAATATAATATTAACCGAATAAATGTTCATTTTATTTAAATAAAATGTATAAACACGAATAAGAATTATAAGAAAGTAAACACCCAAAAAAATAAATAAAGAATTTTCACTTGAACTGCACCGATAGTGTGTCGAAACGTAATGATCAGATTTGACGACGAGCCACGGACCTATCTAAATGCGGACACATAAAATATATTATGATTATAGTATGTTATTGTACTGGACTCTTGTCTCCCTACCAGCGTCGCAGTATTAACTGGTCAGGTTATACATATTGAGACAGGACCTTGAAGCGCATACGGGTTTTCTAAACGGTTAATCGACGAATAATATTCGCAATATTAATAACTGAATCTGAAACTTATCCGATCCGTTTCGTGATGAATCACTAGGGCCGAATAAAGAGGGGGCTGGGGTGGGCTATAGCCCCGGGCCGTAAATTGAAAGGAGTCACAATATATTTTATAATCGTTAGCTAATAAATATAAAATACTGTTATATCAATTAAATGTGACTATACTACAAAATATAAATATATTACATTTGTTTTAATAAATATTTATTACAAATTATTAAATCTGAAAAAAAAAATGAAACTATTTTGGATAAAATGGCCACATCGAAAACAATAACCCTTCTTATATTATGACCATGGTGCAGCCCTGTGAATTACATGTGTTTTTTATACTGTCATATATGATGCACGTGCCATTACGAATAACTGTCTGAGTTACGTGTTTTTGAATAAATATAATTATGTAGTACTTCAACGATTAGTGTTAGCACTATATATTCCAACAATAATATACATTTCGAATATCGTATGTATATGTAACATGTATAGATGTACGATGTTTACAAACACTATTATTAGATTACTATTTTTAAAACAGTATTGTTGGTACGTAATATGATTGCGTCTCGGTACTTAGACAATTATAAAGCACTAAGCTTTATCATATTTTCCGTGTATACTACATCAAAATTTGAAAGCTAAATTTCATATATTACAGTGTATATACAGAATATTTCCTGTTGCTATATTATAACATTCTGTACGGTGTCATACAGGAATTGAATCGGTTATAAAAATTGAAATTGCCGTGAAATATTACTGCACGTTCATACATATGATAATAACACGATCAGTTTGAAATTTAAAACATTATGATATATACATATATATATACTATAGTTTCGAAAAAATTACTGATTAAATCAATGTCATAAGAATAGGTTTACATTTCAATGTTTACATTAAGATTAAAAACAAAAGAAAAACTAAAATGCAGTGAATATTTTCGGTAATATTGAATTGAGTTCCGCAAATATTTTTGGGTTATCGAAGTTGAGTCCCTTCAGTCTATTAGCGTTACCCAGGAGACACCACGTGGAGGTTGACTGAGAGTCTCCCAAGAATTGTGTGTGATTGTTTACAGTATTTATTTATTTTTTTTTAATCATTATAAAACACAAATAAATATAAAATACAATAAGTTAATTAATTCGTTTATAATATAATTTAAGTAGTTGTATATGATTGTTTTGTTTAAAGTTTTTTTTTTTTTTTGATTGTTATAAAACACAAGTCAGTTTGTATAAGTTACTATAAAATACAAAAACTAATTTAATTTAAAATTAATGTAAAATATAAATATAAAAATAAATTTAAATAGTTGCTGGTAAAAATTTAAAAGATACAGATTTTAAAAACTCAAATCTGCAAATTTGTTTACTACTGTATTTTTTTATTTGTTCTCGTAAAAATTGTTCCTTTTCTAATGTAATTTTACATTTTTTCGTTGCTTTGTTTCGCAATTTAACGTATGTATCTGACTGTATACCTAGAAGAGTGTCAACAAGAATAAAAATATTTGGATGTCCTGATTGAAAAAATCCATTTAATTTTGAGTGAAAACTTTCATAACTGTTAGTGGTCTGATTAGTGCTTGCTGAAAAATCACTCCAAATTTTTGGGGGAAACTGTGCAACATCATCGTCAATGTAATTATTTAAAATGTAATCTGTAAACTTGTCAATTTTTTCATCATTACATGGTTTTATTGCCATTAAATCTTCCGTGAAACATTCGACTACCTCATTATCGTTTAAAAATGGCAAACCGAAAAAATACTTAAGATATCTACCTTTATTAGAATCAGATTTGTACTTCTTAGACAAACCCAACTTCTGAATTGTTCGCCACCAGCTTTGGCCTGAATGGAATCGACACCCTTTAATTCTAACATCGATCCAGACTTGTTTAATAGCATTATGGATTCCATTTTCAAAATCTACATCAATTTCTGAAGGGTGAAATGTCAAACTTAGCGATGTACAATAATTAATAACATGTTGAAATTCTTTAACATAAATATTCGAATCTTTCGTGGGCAACAGCAAAAACACAAGAGGAACATATATATCTTTAAAGTAACCATGAATCGTAAAAATCTAGGTGAAGTATTTAGGACAAGTCTTAAATGTCCCGTCAATATATATTTTTTTAACATCACACAAAACATTTAAACTAATTTTCGTCGAAAATCCTACTATCGATTTTTCGAAGTCATTTAAAAACAAAGTTTTCGTCATTATTTGTTATAATATTCATCGATTTTAATGCATTTTGAGTTTCGTATGTACTTTGAGGTAATTTTGGATGAAGCAATGAACGAGCATGGTGAATGTTTTGTTTGATTAATATAACGTCATTAGTCGTGAGAGTTAAAATGTCACCATTTTTAAACTCAGTATGCAAAATGTTTGATAGCCGTATAGAAATATCGTCCTCAGCTTTTCTTTTAACAGCGTTATTAATTTTTTGTCTATTCAGTATTTTTTCGTCACACTTTTCGTGATTGTGTTCATTGCAGTTTTTTAACATAACATTATCAGAAAATAATTTAAAATAACACTTACAGGAGTTTTTACAACATGTCCATCGTTGAACCTCGCCTTGCAACATTTTATGAAATCTAAACTTATAACCTTTAATAATCAAATTGTTTTATTTTTTTCACTCGGCATAGACTCCATATTTCAATGTTGTGTTCGCGAAGTATTTCACTAAGTATTCGGCACGACTGTTTGATTTTCAACGAGTATATCGAACTAAGCTGTCGACGAATATAGAGATTATCGTTTTCAAGATTCGTATCCGGTATAATATGATGTTTGAAGTTCAAGGTCGTCACCGGCTATATAGATGGTTTTGATACCTTATATCTCTACGGACTCAATTCAAAGACATTAAGATAATACCCGGGACTCAATTCAAACACATAAAAGTAGCATGGACTCAATTCAACGTCAGCCAATATTTTATCTATAATATTTTACAATGTGTGAAAAATAATATCAATATTCGTACAAATAATTAATTTTACTCTAAAAACAGTATTGTAAAATCTATATGTTCTTCGATTTACTCAAATCTAAATACATTCAGTAATATAATAAAGTTTATTTTATGAGCGTGAGATTTTATAAACAAAATTGATTATTACATTATACTCAATATAATGATTTAGGCAAGGTTGTTATGCTCATAATCAATAAATCAATAAATGTATATTCTTATTAATGTTAGTCAATTTTAATATGTTATTTTTATATACATACTTGTGTAGAGACCGGGAGTGATTATTAATACTGCTCAGTCTAGTATACTTTATTTATGCTTACATTTTAATATTTATTCTTTATTTATTCATTATATTTATGTGTATGGTTGTGGTATGTATATCTTATCACAATATATGTATAATATTAAAGAACAAAATTTGGATTCTCTATTTCTATAGTCTCTATTTTATATTATATTTTTTATAAGTAATCTCTACTCAACAATAAAAAAATGAAATCATAACACAAATATTCTTGATTTTAATATATATATTATAATATTTGGTAGGCAATGGTCTTTATCATGGTCTTTTTTATTTTTTTTATCGTGTTTGTATATGTGTGTGTGTGTTTTGCAATACGTATATTTGAATGAATATAGTTATGAAGTTGATAGTTCAACGGTTAACGTTAGCACTATATATTATAATTATTCATTATACTCTTGTACCTTTTGAATTAATTTATGTGATTGCGATAGTGCCAATGTTAAAAGGTATCTCATATACTTATGTAAGTAGTTATTTTGATTTTGTCTTTCTTATTGACGATGTAAACATATATATTTTGGCATCAAAAACTTGTATAGTTAATTGGATTGATCAATTTCGGTAGACGATTATGGATATAAAATATATGTACGATTATATTTTAATTTACATATTTATTTTCATTTCAATAACGAATTTATTTATTTTTCTTCTGGAAAATTAATTAGGTGTGGATAAAAAGTAGATAGAGTAAATTGACTCGAGCATCTAAAATCTATATGATATGATTACAATCACGAGTCGCATCTTAGAATAAGAACATTTTACATTACATTAACAATTTATTCTAAAGAACTTATTTATTTATTTCATATTTTTAATTGTTTAAATTATAATATAAAATATAAATTTTAAAAGTTGTCAATTTATAGTTTGTATAGTTATGGCTGTATCATCATTTTTATTGCCTATTTTTCCGTTTTTTTGACGCATGCATAGATACCAATTAATAAAAAATGTTCTTGTATGTTTTATTTAGAATTATAGGTATCATATTGTAAAATAAGCTTAAATAGCAAAAATAAATTAAAATAATAGAAGTACAGATATATTAACATTTTAATTTAAATTTGCAAAATGAGTACAATTAACGTAACAATAAACAATTTACCTTAAAGTACATATTATATTATGTACTTGCATTTATACATGCATAATTTAAATACCTCCACGAATTGCTTATTTATAGACTACTATTTAGGATACTGTCGATATTGAAAATGTTGTTGTGTAATTTGTACCACATAAAATTGATTTTATTATTAATTATAGTAATTACTATTTTAGCATACAATTAGAATTGGCTATTATATCAATAAATATGTAATGTTATGTAAGTGAACTATACTCAGAATACAACAATAGTAATAATTTATTGATTTCGTAAAAATATTACACAGTTTATTATTATTTTAATTGTTATAACATTTGTGAAGATGAAGTATGTCTATGCGAAATGTATTAATAAATATATTTTAACTTTAATAAATTATAATTCTGAGTAGACATATTTTAAGTCCTTTTGGAAGAAGTTATATTTTGTTTTATTTCTTACTAGTGACCCGTACTGGCTCTAATCTGGATCTGCAATAAGATAAATTTGTACAAATTTGCGATCGTTGGGTCAATGTAGTAACAGCAAGCTCCCAGATAAGTGATACACTTGCCCTTGAATTTTAAACGTAAGCATAAAACTACGCTCAACGGCTTGCTTATATTTTAAAAGAGGTTATTTGAAATGCGTTGTTTTAACGTCGTATATTGCGCATGAATTGTTTGTGTTTCAGATGATCACCCGTATTACAACCTATGTTCGAACGACGATGTCTACCAGACATGACTTTATATTTTCTGTACAAAGTATGTACTATTGTACGAGATAACGTCAAATATCAAGCCGCCGGACCGGGAAGAATCGAATCCAAGTTTCTGGCTTGCCGGGCAATTACCTACCGCTAAGCTACCCGACCGCACAGATGTAAGACGTTATCACCCCTCAGTTAACGGGAGTTTACACATGGTAAAACCGCGCATACACTAGACTCCGGACCGGCCGGACCGACCGAACCGAAAATAATTCGGTCCGAATTTTTTCGGGTATAGCTGCATTGAGTGTCCCCGAATTTTCGTTCCGAAAACAAAGTTAATAGCTAAATAGATAATTAAATAATCATATTATGTCGTGACTTATAATAATAACTAGAGTAAACTACGTATTATAAATATTTTCTACAATCAGTTTTCGACAGTTGACGAATGCAGTGCATGGTGTGCAATTCTCACGTGCGATGTATTTACAACTACTAAAATACTTACGAGTTAGTACGAATACATTATCGAAAAACCAATGTGAAACGGTCGATAAAATTATAGATAAAACGCACGTTTTCAAAACATATGTACTAAAATATCACGATTTAAGATATATCTTAAGTACTTAATACTAGGACATAGTAGGTACTAGGTAATAGGTACACAACGATGTTATTAAAACACCAAATGTAATATGACCACAATATTTAATTTATTATCAACGTCTCAAATCAAGAGGTAGGACCTATACATAGAATAGTATCACTAATTTTCGGCCGAAAAATTCAAACATGTTTGAACGGTTGAAATCCGAACCGACCCGAATTTCGGTTCGGGTTATCGGTTCGGTACAAGTATATGCACTCACATATAAAATCGGCATTTTGATTTTTTTCGGTTCGGTCGGTTCGGGTCTAGTGTATGCGCGGCTTAAGACACCACACGCATAGTAATATAATACAGTCTTTAGTCTTCAGTCATTTTTTTTTTTTTTTTACAAAAAACTTTCCTCCCCTTGAATCACTCTATCGATTAAAAAAACCCGCAAGAAAATCCGTAGCATAGTTCTAAAGATCTAAGCAACTGTATGCTGCATGCATAGAGACAAACACGGAACAAATTTATAGATTTTTTAATATGAATATTAAAATTATATATTTAGTATTTTACTAATTTTGTTTATTAAGAAATAATAATAATATTAAATTAATATATTTGTATAGTTTAATCGTATTTGTTTATTACAACTTGTTCAATTAATAACATTTAAATAGGCCAAGAATTTTAAGTATAGACTCGAGGATTGTAACTATATTGAAATATATAACTAAAAACAATATGAACCATAATATAAATATTTTATAATTACATAAATCCCTACAGAAGATACAATGGGTAAAGAACATTCATACGTAACTTCCTGTATGATAAGAAAACTTAAACATGTTAGTTGTTGCATTTTAAAAGTATTTTCATTTTTATCATATATTATTATACAGCTTATTAAATATTTCAATACACGTAATTACTAGTCTCTATATGAAGTAGCCATTTTTAATATAATTTCATAAGGAAATTGGTTTGAAATTTAAAACTATAAACCAACAAACTCTAGGTAGATCAAAGAATAATAAACAGTGTACACGGAGATAGGGCACTCTATCTAGAGAAGTCTAGATCTATTCAACATAATAAATAGAGCGAATAAACCATACATAAAGCGCAAGTAAATATCAACAATGTATCTGTAGAATATAAATAATTAGTATTGATATAGTTTAATTAAATACAATGCAATTCAGTTAACAATTTTTTTCATTTTTTTCCATAACTTTAATATAGTATTTAAAAGTTTTTAAGTATACTAAGGTTGAGTTAGGTTTGATTAGGTGGTGTATTTTTTAATAATTATTGGTGTAATATCTTCCAAAAGATCTTCAGTTTTGGATATTTGTTTGATGCTTTTATACGAAATGTTATCTTCTACGCCGATTTCTTTTAGCAACTGCGTGCACTCCTTTGTCATCTTTTTTTAAAATCCAATTTCTTATCCACAACCTCTTCGTTTTTGTTAATTTTTTAGATTGGTTTTACGTACTTTTAGAGCTCTATCTAAAGTTAATTTTTTTTCAAATTTCTCTTCGGTATAAACACCTGAGTGTAGGCAAACTACAGGTTATATAATACATTAGTTCTGTGTGCGATATGGCACTACATGAAAGTCACATGAACTTCGAATAATTATACGAACATAAAACAGATGTGCATACCTATGTAAAATACGTAGAATGTTATTTGTATTTGTTTCTGCATTATAATGTGTGTGGGCGTGTGGTTTAATTTAGATAATATGACAAAATAGTTCACTGAATTTTTTTTATGAATACATAGGCAAATTAGACGTTTGATTATTCAGCATTTCAATTAATTTATTTAGTTTAGTACCAATAACTTTATGAAAATATTAATTTTTTTTTTATTACATCACTTGTATTCAATTTTTTATTCATAAATAACCTATTTAATATGAGGGCCACGATAAATCTGAACGCATCGTAATATTAAACATCATTTAAGTCATCAAAAAAACCTTTAATTATAATTTTATTCAACCTTTATGTAATGTATACGTTTGTAGAGGAATAATATTTGAAAATAAATCAAGTTCATATTTCTTGAATTTTTATTCATCTTTGGTTTTATAATTCCAAATTCAATTATTTCTGAAAGAATTTCACGAGAGGCAGTAACTATTATTTTGGTGTTGTAAAAAAAAGTAAATATGAGTTATTAATATATAGGATTTGATTTAATTTTCAATATATTAAATCTCAATCGATAACATTTAAGGAAAATATACTTTAATAAGACACACCTTGTATTTATTATATTTATATTTATATTTATATTTACTTACTGACGTACAATTTACTAAAATAGTAATTAAAGATTTATACTAATTTTAGCTATTTCATTACATTGGCTAGTTATAAATATTATAATAATGTTGTGTTTTTATGTTTTAAGTGTTCAGTTTAACAAATAATATATTTTTTATTATATTCTGCAATATAAAATTATTCAGTCGTAACACAACAATAATCACCAAACAGTGAAACTTAAATTATTAGGTACACAAATACAACCTAATCTTTTTACGGACATCAACCAAGGTTTAAATGAAATGTTACAACTCGTGGTGTTATTTATAATCGTATGGCTTAATGATTTCATTATAATAAAATCCATGTCATTATACTCTTACACTTGTTATTAGGAATTAAATGAAGTTTACCTTATGGTTCCCGAATTATAAATTTTAATAAAACATAATATTTGTCTTTTCGTCCTTGTGTTCCGTTGGGTCATATCAGTTAATATTAATGAAATATTGAATCATCTACCTAGGAATTTTAGCAAAAAATAACCTGTTGATTCTAGTTTCTTGACATTTGTTTTTACTTGGTCATCGACTGTAAATCATCCAATTCCTGTTTTGTGTGTTTGTAAAACACTGTTGCCGTTCGCATAATCAGGTAGCTTGGGCTTGGGCACTAGGCACTCTTGAATAGCAATTCTATTTATAAATATCTTCCAAGTAAACAGGTACCATTGTTGTCGAATTTCCGGTATTGTACAACGAGCGCACATTCCGTGTCCAATCCTAATGGTGTTAAGAAACGTTTGTTTTGCAATGTCGGTATTTTTCGTGCACGAACAAACCTCCCTGTTGGCCCTATGTTAAGAAGGAGTTTGTTAATTTAATTTTTAATTTTATTAATTTTACTGATGTTTTTCATTCTGTGCACAGAACGAAATACCATTGGTAAAATTAACAAATTTACTACATCAAAATTTGATTATGGAAAAGGTACTTCTTTAACAATAATTATATTGATTTCACCAACAGTTTGTTGAATTAATAAGAAGCGTTTATTAAAATATTTAATATATTATTAATTTTACAATCACAATATGATCATGAAGTACGTTCTTCTTTAACAATTAAAGTATTGATTTCAATAAAATGTGAGTAATGACACAACATGTTGTGTCATTACTCACATTTTAGTTAGCTCAAATAACAACGTCCATTAATCGCGACACCGATTGAAGGATATGATATCCACCCACCGAGCCGAAACGATTCTTACGTCTATCAGACTAAGCAATACCACCTGTTATCTAAAGTTAACCGGGTAATCACATCCGTGAACTAAACCATATGTTCTCAACCTTTTGAGGTCCGCGCCCCCTTTAAAACTATTTTATGTGTTCATGCCCCACCCTCTCACTACTATAAGATTGATGTATGCATAATATTTATATGTAAACTATACTTTAATATTAGTTATTGGATTAATAAAAATACAACTTCAATGAAGTTTTTTTAATATTAAATTCATTCAATTGCATGAAAAAAAAAAATCGAAAACTGCGGCGACCAACACAGCGGCAAGGCACGACTTAGAAAATGGCAACATTTTCATTTTTCATGGTTTTTTAACATTTCCCCCCCCCCCCCCCCCCAACATTTTGTCACGACACCCTAGGGGGGTGCACCTCCCACGTTGAGAACCACTGAACTAAACCATTTGGATCCTTTACGTGCACAAATATAATGAAACGTATATTATAGATAATAGCTATACATATTTTCTGAGGTAATGCTTTAAATTTTACAAAAATAATACACATATTATGCCTATGATATTAAACGTATAATTTTCGTACTCCTACGTTAAACTGTGAATGCAAGGTATAATACATATACTACACAAAATTGTATACGTATAACCCCTCATAATTAACGTTGGCTTTTACTATCAATTATTGATACCGAGATAAGTTAGATAAGTTGAAAGAAATTATAAAATAGTATTATATATTATGCTTATTTCGTGAAATAAAATTTACGTAATACTGAATTAATTTATACATTAGTGTCTTTCGCTCTTTTTGTGATTCTGTGTATGTTATATTATCTAATCTGTACGCCTTATATTTTATATATTTATAGTATTTTAGACAAAATAAACGACTATAATTTTATAATAAATTATTATTGAACAGTTGAATTGTTAAATTTAATAGTTTACAATTTTAGGAATATTAATTTTTTCTAAGTAAAATCATAAATTATAACAAATTATTAAGTAATAATTTGCATCAGTCTTATTCTATCGATTTAAAGATCTATAATTTTTCAAACAGTTTTAATATAGTTAGATAGTTGGATAATAGTATATATTTTAATAATTTATTTTTGTGATGAACTGAAAATTGAATGTAATTTCAGTGTTTTTATCATTATTAAATTATGTTTTTTTATGTAAGATGGTCCTCAATATGATATAAGGCGGTTATAATTGGCATATGTTCATGGATTATCATTTGTCCTTATTTATATTTGTAATTAGATAATAAAGTCGAGTGTCCAGTAATTGAGATACATAACGAAGATATTTTGGTGAGTTGTATTGAATTTTTCGTTTTATTAGTTTTGTATTGTCAACAATTGTTAGAAATTACAATTAAACAAATATGTACATACCTATACAAGACACTTAATAATATTTTTAACAAAAGTGTTTTTGACACATTTTCATAAATACCATAATAAATATTTCTACGAATCGTCATTATATCAGGAATGGATATTTTAGCTAATCAAGCAATGCAGCTGATTGTCATCTTATTTAAACTGCTAAATCTTGAATTCCCTTAAACTTCTTTTAATTTTCAATTTATTTCAAACATTTTTTAAATTACTTTATGTTTATGTTAATTTTTGTAAATCGAATTAACGATCTTTGCAAGGGGGTGCATATGTATCCCCCTTGATTTCCAAAAAAAGATGAATAAAATTTAAAAATGTCTGATAAAGACAATTATTATTACGATCGGAATTTCTAGTAGCCTCGCATTCTTTATTACAGTCGAAAAAAAGACAATAATTTAAGCATTGTTTAGACATCATCATATATACTATGCAAGATACACCTCCTAACAAAATTCTTGGCGACGCCTATATGTGATAGCATAATTACAAATTAATTCACATATAGAATAATAGATATAGTTTAATAGATCAAGTTTAATGATTGCATAAATAACTGCGTTCAGATATAATATTCATACTTTAAAATAATTTTTTTTTTAAA